GAGATACAGGCTAAAGATCGTTTCACAGCATATGCAGACGATCTTATTATTGGTAACTTCCGAAGGGAGATAGAAGCTAAAATTCTGAAGCAATCTTGCTCAGAAGCGAGGAGTTAAGGAGTGTCCAAGCCGATAGACAGGGAGGAGTACGCCAGGATAGAAGGCCAAAGAATAGGAAAAGAAAAGTAAACTTTAAAAGATCACCCGCTGTTGGGATAGGTGAATCAAAAATCAGATTCAAAGACTCGGTTAGATACCTTGGTGTTCATTTCGATAGGGATATGCGAGTCGAATCACATTGCAAGTATCTAAAGAGTAAAGTAGGATTTCTCTTCAACAAGCTGGGCAAGCTGGCAAGATCCCAATAGGGTCTTAAATGTAAAACGCTTTCCACAATTTACCGGGGAGTGTTCATCCCAGTAGACACATATGCGGCTGCAGGATGGGCCGATCTGTATATGAAAGACAAGAAAGTTCTTAGGGTTGTGCAGCGCGAAGTGCTTATAGCACATACAAGCGCATATCTCACAGCGTCATGGGAATCATTCTGCGTGGTAGCAGGACAAACTCCCATTGACTTACTCTTAAATGAGCATAGATGAGGTAAGAAAGGGCAAGGACGTAGAGATAAATGAAACCGTAATCGGAAAGGATACGGAAGACGTCAAGAAAGTAATAAAGCGTGAGGGTGGCGCGTGGACGTTGCTCCCTCGGTGAACAATCCGATCACCGGATGGAGCTAGTGTCAGCGCCCGCGGAGGTGCATTGGAGACGCCGCCGCGAAAAAGAAGAGTGTCGATGGGCCCTTAAGAAGTTGGACCCTAGCGCCCTCGAGATGAGCCTCTTTTCATCCACCTGGTCGGAACGTTACCCGGAGAGAGAGAGAGGCCGACTGGCTCGGGGACGTCAAATCGCGCGCGTGCGACACATCGATGCCTCGCTGCCGACCAATGCGTAGGAAGGCGGTTTACTAGTGGTCCGAGGAGCTAGCCGAACTGCGCCATGATATACACCCTCGCTGGTCGGTCATCAACGGCGAGAGGGAGACGGCCGCTGAGGAGCTCCATGCCGCGCGGAGCGCCTTCAGAGTGGCTATCAGGCGAGCAAAGGCTGACGCCTGGAGCAAGCTATTGTCCTCCCTGGACAGGGATCCATGGAGGAGGCCCTACAGGATCGCAGCGAAGAAGCTGCGACCATGGCTTCCCCCTATCGCGGAGACCCTGGACGTCCCTTTTCTCGGTGAGATGATGGGCACCTTCTTCCCCACAAGAGAGAAAGAGAAATCCCGGAGAGAGTTGGCCCGTCCGAGGGATAGACTGAGGAGCTGGGCGGGAGAGGGGGAGAGATGACGAAAGCCTTCGCTCGCCTAAAGGGTAGATCCAGAGCTCCGAGGCTGGATGGCGTACCCAGAAAGGTTTGGGCAGCCGCGGCCCCGGCAATTGGGAATAAGACGAGGCAGCTCTTCACGAGCTGCCTCAGGGAAGGAGTCTTCCCCAGATCGTAGAAAAGGGTCAGGCTCTTACGCAAGAAGGGCAAGCCAGTGGAGAGTCCCTCCGCGTACAGATCGATATGCCTGCTGGACGATGTGCAAACTTCTGGAGCGAGTTATCGCAGCCCACATCTGTCCCGTGGTGGTCCAAACTTGTCCTGCGGTCAGTACAGTTTCTGAGTGGGGCGATCCACAATTGATTAAGCAAGTCCATCCTCTCGGAGCAGCTGATCGCGGGCGGAGAAGTGGCATTGGCGGTATCGCTAGACATCGCCAACGCCTTCAACAATCTGTCGCGGGGCCGGGTGGGGGCGTTGAGGGAGTACTTCCTCCTGCCCCCCTATCTGATTATTATAGTCGAGAACTATTTTCGGGACAGCTGAAGTTCCATAATAAAATGGGACTCCGGCAACGGAGGGACGTGTCGTGCGGCGTTCCGCAGAGGTCTTGGGCCCCCTGCTGTAGAATGTCGCATACGACGTGCGGCCCTGCCCTCCCACTTACGCGGACGACACGCTCATGATGGTAGGGGGGGAGCGCGACCTGAGAGATAGCCGTTGCGACAGCGAACGTCGCGGTGATAAGACAACTGAACTTGAGAGTGGCCCCTGCCAAGTCGGAAGCTATCTTCTTCCACGATGGGACTGGCGCCCCTCGGACCTCGGTAGTGGTGGACGACGTCCGCATCCCGGTTGGACCCAACTTGAAGTATCTGGGTCTCACTTTGGATGGTCGTTGGGGCCTTGTCACTTCGACAAGCCCCACGATTAGGTCGTTGGGTCGACGCTCTGCTCGGTCTAATGCCTTCATAGTCCGGATAATGGAGTGAGACGGGTGTACATGCACGCGGTCCTGCCCGGGGCCTATTACGGAGCCCCGGTGTTGAGAGGGGAAGGCCATGCCCAGCCGCCGAATTAAGCAGAATCTGCGCAGTGTGCAGAGGCCCTACGAATTGCAAAGATCTACAGGATCGTGGCATGGCCTTGGCGATCCTCGCATGTATCTTCCAGGCTGAATACGTGGCCGACGTCCTAGCCGAGTCATACGCCAGGGTGAAGGCCATTAGGCTCCGTGGGGGTGTAGTCACCCCGAGGGCCGTCGACCTCATCAGGGGAGACGCCCGTCGGCGGGTGTTCGGCGAATGGCGATAGCTTGCTGAACAATCCGCCGACGGGAGTCCGCACTACGGAGGCCATCCTCCCCTGCCTGAAAGAATGGATGGGCAGCGGGTGGAATTGTCGTTCCACCTAATTCAGGTGCTCACCGCCCATGGGTGCTTCGGTAAGTATCTGTGTCGAGAAGCAGCCGACGGCGCAATGCCATCATGCGATGCAGTTCGGAACACCGTACAGCACACGTTGGAGTTCTGTCCGGCGTGGGCCGAAGAGCGCGGTATCCTAAGGGAGAAGTTTGGAGACGACCTCTCCCTGCCGGCGATTGTCAAGGCAATGGTCAGCGGGGAGTGATCGTAAAAGGCTGTCTGCTCCTTCCGCGAGTAGGTAATGCGGCAGAAGGAGGAGACAGAGGGAGAGAGAGAGGGCCAGAAAGGACAGCGGTTCTCCTCCGCCGCCGAGCGGTGTCAGTGGAGGTAGAGAAGGAGGACGGGCGGAAGGCCGTGAGGATCACGCGGGCACCGACCTCAACCAGGTCGCTCATGTCCCGGGCCTCCCCCCCGCATGCTCACCTCACGGATGCGCTCCTCGGGGCGCGGGCGGAGGCGACCTCCTCCCCCGATACCCGAAGAAGAGGATGGCGAAGAGGAGGATGCGCATGGTCGATGGTTCCTTTCCTCCCACCGTCGCGGACGGCCCCGCGTCCGGAACACGGGAGGCTGTGAAGCGGCAGCGGGTCGCGACCCCTTGGAGCATCCCGCCGCCGAGGGATACAATCCCCCGCGCGCATGGAGGGATCGTCTCACTAAATGATTGGGTGACCAGGATCAGGCGCCTGCCCTTTCGCGTGCGGAGGACTCGCCGCGACAGCGCGGTGTTAAGAGGAAGAGGCAATATAATTGGCGCGCCCTGGGAGGCTGGGGGTCCTGGCGAGGACCGGGATCCCCAATCCCTGCTATCAACAATCATGGTGGCATGGCGCGGGGGGATGATATTCCCTTCCGCACCCGAATCGGACAGTCTGCGCCCTACGCTGCCCGGGGCCGTCCCTCTCGACGACCCCGAGCGAGATCGATTTGGCAGCAGCCGATTGGCCAGAAGTGCTCCCAGAAGTATGCTGCACGCGTTTCGGCGAGTCCCTCAGCTATGGCCCGGTTAGGACATCAGGAAGGGTTTTAATGAGTGCAAGCCCCACATAACCCCGGGCTCTTCCCCGAGACCCAGGGTATACATTAGGTATTTCGCCTTCGTTATCAAAAAAAAGGATTTCTTCGTTATCTTTTTTATCAATTTGCGAGAGGTGTGGAACTTAGAAAAATTTCAAAAAAATTTCAAATATTTGTCCAAAATTCATGTATTCAAAATCTGTTTCTCGACATTCTGAACATGAATTCGAATTTTGATCGATTTTTCCAATTTTTTGAATGGGACTTAAAAAAATTTCGCCGGAGTTCCGATTTCCAAAAGTACACAGCTTAAACGAAGAGATAATGGCATGGGCCCAAGTAGGGATCGGCATGGGATCGACGGAGTTTTTAAAATGTAACCATATTGCATATACCGTTCAACTACCTAACTCCAATCTCCTCCAAGTTATTAATTTTCGAAATTCCAAAAAAGAAGAAAAAGGATGCCTGCCCATGGAGTTCGTCAAGATGTCTAACTCTCCACTCACCACATTAGTTGCCGATCCTCTAACCCAACCCACCTCGGAGTTAATTCCCAAAGTTCCAAAAAGGGTGGGGGGGGAGGTGATCCCTATGGGATTCGATAGGATTACCAATCCTCCACCCATCCGGATTATCACGGATCCCCTAACCCCCCCCCCTCCCAACTCGGAGTTATTAATTTTCAATTTTTAAGAGTAAGCGTGGGGGAGGTAGTACCCTCACCATTCAACAGAGGAGAAAATTATCGATCCAACGATTACCCTGTCGACCCCTTTCCAACATCCCGTCGAGTTTGCGCGGTCGAGAGAGCTCCCAGTTTTTGGCATTCCGCGCGCGGGAGCATACCTGACAGGTAAGTAAATCGTCAACCCCCTTATTTATAATATAATTTATAATATAATTACCGACCCCCAATATTTTTGAATAACTTTGATTCCCTTTGTCCGATTTCAATCGTTTTTTTTTTTAATTTTTGTCTTTTCAAGCCTCTTCTCGCGTTGGAACCGTTCCACTATCTATCTATTTCAAAATGGCGGCAGTTTAAAGTTAAATACCCGCCGTTTCCAAACGATGACAGCGGAATGGTCTTCATCTCTTTCGACGGGGCTTCACGAGACTTAAATTTGGAAAAAAAATTTTAAGTTCGGATCAAGGGAACCGAAGTTGTTCCTTCTTTTACTAACCAAATATCGTTTTTTTCAGTTTCAGATAGATATCCTTCGCATCAAAATGAGCGATGACTACGCCAACAACTTGTCAGCCCTCCGCTTCGACGAACGCAAATTTTTGCCTTATCTGGAGTATGAGTGAGTACCCGTTTATCTTTGCACATATGTATACACTTGTGTATAATCTCTTTTTTTTCCACAGAGTGTCCGAGACAGATAGGCACTTTATAGATCATCGTCCTCCGATTCATACATCCACGGATCGCTCGGACACGCTGTCCGTATCAAGCGAGTCATCGGAGACAGAGGACATGTCGAACGAAACGTTGGAGCCGCCTACCGCCGACGCCGCCACCGAGAAAGAGGAAGGAGAGTCCAGCGATAGCGATAACGACGAAGACTCGGACGATTCGGGCAGCGGCGTCGAGGCCGATGACGAAATGAACGTCGACGATTAATTCTTTTTTCTCAGTTTCTCTAATTGTTTTTATATAAAATAAAATATTTTCTCTAATTTTTTGTCTTACGTGTATTAAATAAACTTTCCAAAGTTTGATATTTGTACTTTTTTTCCTTGTTCCATCTCCTTTTCTCCCCCTCGATGATGTGCCACCTTGTCGTAGTGAGGGGGCTCTACCGGTCAACGACCGATAGCCAAGAGCACATCAAACGCCCCATTTTTAATATCGCCCATACTTTGGATTTTTTTGACGCTTTCCTTTTTAGTTGTTTTTCAAGAGATATGGAACTTGGAAAAATTCTCGAAAATTTTCAAAGTCCCGACAGTACACGCTTGGATGTTCAGGTCGGTTTTACCGGCCAGAATACGTAAAGATACTTTACTGGGGCATCGTGCTGAGAATCGGAAAAAAAAATTTAAAAATTCTTTTCATCGTTCTCTCATACTTATTTCAGCTTACTACATCGATTGACACACTTTCATGTTTTTTCAGTTCAAATGTAGAACTTAGAAAAATTTTCAAAATTTTTGATGTGCTCTTAGCCGATCTTCGACCGGTGGAGCCCCCTCACCATGACAAAATGACACATCATCAAAAATAAGTTAATATATACAATTTAAAATATATTCAAAATATTAAAGAAAAAAGAAATTTACAAATTTATATACAATAACTATGTACATTGTATGTACAACTATTAACATACATGTTAACGCCCACGCGTCTATGTGTACAGTTACTTATTCTTCGCTGACTCATTTCTCGTCGCAAAGTATCGCGACGAGTTCTTTAATTTCGTTGCGGTGATTCTTTTTCAATTCCTCGCATCTTAATCCTACAGCGATTTGAAAAACGCGTTGTTGTATGTTAGAATCTTTAATATCTTCAAACAATTCCGGTCGGGAAGTTATAAATTTGGCCAAAGTGTACTTGTTCCGTGGCTTGCAATGTTTCATTCAGGAACAATAATATCGCTGGTGAACGACGATCCACGTTATGACGTTCTTTACAAGATTCCGTACCATTACCTTGCGAGGCGATGACTGTACAACCTCAGCGTTTTGTCGCTCATGTTTCAAAGCGATTCTGAACATCTCGTACCATCTCGGTTTTCTATTACTCACGGTACCAGCGATTCTCGGTTCTTTACGATTCACAGTATCCGCGAGTTGGAGTGCCAGTCTCCGAAATACTAGAATCGTCGTCGGACGATGACGACACTCGTCTTAATATGGATTGTCGTAGACGTACAGATGACAGTGAATCGCTAGTTGTGATAATTTCTGGCGATGTCGGTGGAGATATCGGGATGAAGGATATCAGAGATTGGAGGCGACGCGATATTTTCGGAGTGGATGACAGCTCCTGCGCCGTAGTCACTATCATTCTCCAAGTCATTGGAAGGACTCTCTATTGAATATTATCTTATTGGGTGACATGCTGCATTTCCTCATGGATGTCGTTTCATCGATCGATTCTATTGGTCGGTCATCCCTCGGTGCAACGATGGTTTGCACGCAAGGGATCACTTTTGTCATGGGTTTCGGTTTTCTCACGATAGGTTTGCGCCTTCGGAGTCTGTCCCGTCTAAGCATCTGCCGAACTCTTTTGAGTGTGAAGCGAATGTCGATCGGATCCGATTTTACTACGTATCATGCGTACGTGTTGGCAGATGACTTTATCAATTTTGTGGGATTCTAAAGTTTTCTTTGATCCACGTTGTAAGTTGGTCCAAAAAGTTGTCTTTATCCGTTATTTTGATGCAAGCCAACGCCACCTTGGAGAAAATCGTTGACGGATTTTTCATTATTGCTCGAGTAATTAAGTCCGCTTGAACGTAGGCACTGATGAATGAACTCCTCTCTCACGCAAAGAACGGAGTTTATATTGGCCGACGAAGAAGTTGATGGAAAAAACAGCATAGTACCGCTTGTATAGTCGCTTAGACAGTGCTATGACATCAATGCCCCAGTTCCTTTTTCTTTTGATAAACATCTTTCCGTACGTCATCGTGGCATAAATCGTTACGAGATATCTTATAGCGTTGACGTCATCATTTTTCATGCCCATGTGAGTGTCCCATATATCGTGATTGACGAGCTACACGAGTCGTATGACTTCCATATATTGCACGGGAATCTTGTTGGTATATATGGGATGGACGTAATTGTTGGTGTCGTCATCCAGAGGTGGTAACTGAATGGCGCCGTTCTCATTGAAACTCAACTCCGCTTCATTAACAAACATGATCCGCGTGATTGCGTAATTGTACACGTGACAAATCCCGTGCACGGAATACATTATGCAGTATTCAGCTCGAATAGCCTGTCTGATGATATCAGGCGGTAGATACGTAAAACTGTCCATCGTGTCTATTTTACACAGAGCAACAAATATGTTCCCGGACACGAACCACCTCTCAGCAACCAGTGGCGACATCTGTGCGTTCAAACATGCATTTTAAAGGTTGAACATTTTGCTATCATCTGTCAAAGTTTCATTCATTTTGGTTGACATATAACGAAGATATGACAGTTCATGTTAAACAAGATTTTGGTCGAGGTAGAAATTTTAATATGGAACAAAGAGCAGTGATTAAATTTAACGCAAAACTTGGTAAAAGTGCATCAGAAACATTCCGATCGATGCAACAAGTTTACGGCAGTCAATGTCTAGGTCGTACAGCTTTTTTTGAGTGGCATAAGAGTTTTTTGGAAGGCAGAGAGATCCTTGAAGATGACAAAAAATCAGGACGGCCAATTTTGGTTCGAACACTCGAAATGATAGAAAAAGTACGTGATTTTGTTCCAAACGATCGCAATGCATCACTAAAAATGATGGAGGAGGCTTTAAATATCAATAGAGAAACGATTCGAACCATATTACATGAAGATTTGAGTAAAACGAAGGTTTGTGCGAAGTTTGTTCCACATACATTAAGAAGCGATCAAAAATCAGCGAGAATCAATTATTCCAGAGACATCGTTGCAGCCGCAGAAAATAATCCAAACTTCCTAAAATCAATTGTTACGGATGATGAAACATGGTGCTTTCAATATCATCCAGAAGCGTCAAAGTGCGGAATGGAAGTCAAAAAATTCACCATAAGCAAAAAAAGTACGAAAAATTCCATCAAAAATCAAGACAATGCTCATCACATTCTTTGACAGCAAAGGTATTATCCACAAAGAGTTTGTTCCAACTGGCCAAACAATTACTGGTGCATATTATCTAGAAGTTTTAAAGCGATTGATGGGAATTCATCGTATTTGCCCCGAATATCGTGATCCAGAAGATTAGTCTTTGTTGCCGCATTGTGCAAGTATTTGACATCGTTGTGAATTGTATTGTCGTAATGAATCTTCTAATTGAAAGATTCTGTACAGGAGACCTTGTTCTAACAATTTCGTTGTCATGATACACGAGTCATTGTCGAAGATGCGATACTATCGAAGAGTTTCTGACATAGAATCTTCGATTCGAATCAACACTTCCTCTACTCATAGAAACTGCTGGCTTCTCAAGTATTCTCTACAATACGCTCGAATATTAATAGCATATTGTCGCGTTTCTTCGGCTTTTTTCAACTCGGTTCTGTCATTAATATGATATCCGCGGCAAATGAGATATACCGCTACGAATCCGAAATCCTACGAACGAGCCATATTATAGACTTCGCAGCCATATTATAGACTTGTACAAAAGTGATGAAGAAAGATAGTGATCCATTTTTGGAGTAATACCCGTGATCCGCTAGAAAGCCCGTTCGGTATCGCTCCGTTTTACCACTAAGATTTATACAATCTGCGTACAACGAATGAAGAGAATCGTTTCGTTTACCGTTCAGTTTCACCACGGTTCCTCGTCTTCCAATGATAAAATGTCGGCACGATATATCTGTATTACGTCTACGTCGTGATTCACATCGACGATCTCGTGCAGAAGGGATTCTGCGATATCTTTTTCCAATTTCATCCCGTGCTGGGTCACATAGAATCGTACGTTGTTCACGCAGCATGTGATACGAGTATCAGTAATGATCAATTGATCGGTTAGCAATTTGACAAACGTTTTAAAATCCGATATCACGCGATAGTTTGTTCGTTGTACGTTGTGCGAATGGTACCTCAAACCCGTTTTGGAAGTTGCGAGATTTGATGACAGTTCTCGTGCCGCGCACATAACGACATTCATCATAAATGATGTATAAGACGCTCGAGTTCATCCTTCGGTGTCCGTTGTCGACCGTTGGGGTGTCTTGAAAAAAATGGACTGGTATAGTTCTATATACGACGTAAACTTTTTGATTGTCGATGATAGCGAGTTGAAATTCAAACCACGGTCCATCAGCGTCTTCCCTCTCACGATGAGTTTTCATTCATGGTTCGCGTATCGGGGCGAAACGATTCCTCTTGTTTATGTATTTGGTGAACTTGACGTTTTTCACCAACTTCGATAAAATTGGCTTGGTGTAAATGTTACACGTGTACTTGCACACAAACGGTTGCAAACTTCGGCAACTAACGAGAAGACTGTCCACATCACTCTATTTTTAGACCGTCACCACTGGCGTAATCGACATCGATGCGCGTTAGCTGTAGCAAACTCAAAACGGGATCGTTGTTCTCTCGAGACGTCTTATCACCGCCAGTGACGTTCTCTTCAAATGAACGTTCCTCCTCATCCTCTTCATTCTCCTCCTCATCCATCTCCTCCTTCTCCGACGATAAAACTTGCACGTTCGTCTCGTCATTCAGTAGCAACGCTCCTCAATCTCCTCATCCGTTTAATCAGCGCCCGTCATCGTTAAACGCGGCGCTGACAACGGCAATGATTCACCACTGGACTGTGGAAACTCGATGGGCAGGCTCGTGGTGAACCGCATCGAGTGTCGTGTCTCCCTGATGTCTCCTTTCTTGTATCATCGCTCAAATAATTGTTCAAAACAGAATCTGTCATTACAGGATATTTTTCCCATCCCCGCAACGGCTCCGCCA